TTTTTATTTGATTTTGGTTTTAAAGGATTATTAATAAACCAAAATCAAATTAATAGGCCAAAAGTCTCATTGCCACATTTATTCAAACAATAGATTATCGATCAGAAAAAACAAGTCAAAAACCCAAAACATTTGCTCAATGTTTTATTGAATTATATAGATACCGAAAAAGCTAACTTTACATTTTTCAGACAACACTGATAAATTTTTTTATTTTTTTTATTATAAAATAATAGAATAATAATAAATAAACAATGTAATTAAAAATCTTTAATATAATAAATGAAATTTTGCCACACAATATTATGTGTTTAATAAAAATTAAAACCTTTTTAATTTTTATTAATTGTTTGTTTTTTTTTTTGTATGAAATCAAAATGGAAGAAATTAAAATTCAATAAGTGAATATATTTATAAAATATATTCACATAGGTATTATTTAATTTTATAAAGGTATATTAAATTTAATACATAAAAAAGATATTAAAAAATTTTTAATAAAATATTGGAAATTTAACCCATAAATAATGAGATTAATAATAAAGCTTCTTGAAAATATCAGAATCCAAAAAAAAAAAAAATCTTTTTTCATTTTTTTTTTTTTAATTTTTATTTTTTTTTATTTTTTGAAATGATATATTTCCGGAATTGTTTTTATACTTTTCCAAAATCTTTATATTATTTTTTTATAAATCCCCGCACAAAATGGTGTCGGTACCTTATATTACTCCTATGCCCCCTCATAAATGGTAGTACACAAACGGAGTGAGTAATTGTATGATTAAACCACACAATTATCAGCTAATTATGATGAATAAATAAATTAAAAAATAAAAAAAAAAATGTTTATTACATGTTTATCATTTTTTAAAGTAAAATATAACTTTATACAAAAAAAAATTAATTTTCAGGTGTGCACATGTTTATTTATTAGTTTCTATAAAAAATAATAATTAAAAATAAAAACTAAAAAAATATAGTAATATTGGCTATAGCTGATGCAATTATTTGATGTAAAAATTGGCATAGGGTTATAAATAGGTGATTTCTTTTGAATATTCAAAATTGAGAAAAAATAAAAAAAAAATGTGGTTTTGAAATTGAAAAATGGGATGGTCATGATGATATTAATGATGTTGAATAAAAATTTATAAAGATATTTTTTTTTTTTTTTTTATAAATAAATTATTATTTTTAATTTATTTTTATAATTTATATAATATCCAGTGGTGTAATAAAAATAAAATTTTTTATTTTAATATTGAATTTCTTTGTACAAAGCTACATTTACCTGGTTAGTTCATCGTGAGTGTAAATTTTATTTTTATTTTTTTTTCATTTTTTTTTTCCAACCTTTTTTTTTTTTTTTTTTTTTTGGGGATTTTTTTTAAAAATAATTCCTTTTTTAATTAAATTCTTTTGGTCTTTTGGGCGGGGGATCCGAAAACCATTTTTGCTGTTGTTTAATTTATCTTTTAAACCTTTTTTGTTGTAATATTTCGAAAAAAAGAATTGTTTTTTACAAAAAAAACTCTTAAATATCTTTACTTTTTTTTTTTTTTTTTTTGATTTTTTTTCAGTTAGAAAGGGTTTTTTTCTTTTTTTTTTTTTTTTTTTTTTTTTGCCTCTTTTTAAATTTCTTTTTTTCTTTTTTTCTTTTTTTCTTTTTTCTTTTTTCTTTTTTCTTAAATATCATATATAAACAGTTTTTTGATTGTGGTTGTGTTGTTGATTTAGGAAAAAAAAAAAAAAATAAAAAAAAAGATACTTGTATTCCTGTAAAACTCGTTGTATTTCATCGTTATTTACTTTTTTTTTTTTTTTTAATTTATAATTCAAAATTATTATTAGTTTAATAATAAAGATTTTATAAAGTTAAAAATGGATTATTCAAATCCTCCACCACAAAGAGATATTATCAGAGCCTATTTATCAAAAAAAGGACATGGTAAGAAATTAAATGATCAATCAAAAAAAAAAATAAAAAAATAAATATTCATACTTTATTATTTTATTAAAATTTATTTAGTTGTAAAAAATTGGAAATTAAGACTTTTTGTTTTAAAACCAGGGTCAAGTTATATGGAATATTTTGTAGATGAAACAGTATGTTGATTACAATTATAATATTTATAGTAATTTAATATTAATTCATATGTTTTTTTTAGAAAGAAGATTTAAGACAACCTCAAGGTAGAGTACCATTATTCGGTGCTAGAGTAATGGAATATATACATACAGGTAGTGGAAGTAATAGTAATACAAGAGAATTTTGTCTAATTGTAGAAACAGATCATAAAAATTGGATCATTTCAGCAAGTTCAAAAGCACAACAAGTAGAGTGGATAGAAGCAATAAAGTGTGCAATCGAACAGGCAGTAGAAACAGATGACATTAAAATGCAAAAACATAGAGCTATTGAGAAGCAACTTTCAGAGGATAATAAAAAGAGAACCAAAACACCAGTACTTAAATTACTTTTATTGGGAGCAGGTGAATCAGGTAAATCGACAGTGGTAAAGCAAATGAAAATTTTACATCATAAAGGTTTTAGCAAAGAGGAGGAAGATTTCTATAGAAATTTAATTTATGTAAATTTATTGGATGGTGTTGCATTATTAATTCACGTTATAAAAGAGAATAATATAGAGGTTTCACAAGAAACCGAATCAGCAATCAAAAATTTTAGTTCGTGGTACAGAGTATATGTTGAAAAAAGAAAAAATGTAGTTAAAAATTCAAATGGTTCAACATCAATCATTCAAAGTAATTTACAAAATATCGATAAAAAAATGACACACCTCAGTCTTGATGGTTCAACATCTATAAATTCAGCTTCATCAGCAGGAAATGGCAGCACTAGTAACTCACATAATAGATCAAATAGTGATGGTGCATCCAATAATATATTTAATGTTCAAGATTTTGGTTTACCCCCAATAATAACCAATTATATATCAGTTATATGGTCAGATCCGGTTGTACAGTCCGATGTAATGCTTCAAGCACAAAAGTATCATATCAACGAATCTACCAAATATTATTTAAATGAACTAAAGAGAATCGGTAAACCTTCATACCAACCTGTAAATTTAGATATTTTAAAATCAAGAGCCACCACCAATGGTGTTGTTGAAACCGATTTCAATGTGGGTGAAGTTATATTTAGAATTGTGGATGTTGCAGGCCAACGTGGTGAACGTAAAAAATGGATCAACTTTTTCGACGATGTTACCGCCATTGTTTTTGTTGCCGCTATAAACGAATACGATCAAAAATTGGTCGAAGATAATTGTACAAATCGTCTTCATGAATCTTTAAATCTCTTTGACCAAATTTGCAACGATTCAACTTTTCCAAAATCATCCATTATTTTATTTTTAAATAAAATAGATTTATTTAGAGAGAAATTAAAACGTACTTCAATCAAAATTTGTTTCCCAGATTACAATGATGATCAATCTTACGAAAAATCTTCAAGCTTTATAAAAAATAGTTTTCTTTCTAAAAAAAGAGGTGGCTCCAATCCAGGTATGTCCTCAACAGGTTTTATTTATTTCCATTTCACCTGTGCAACCGATACCAAAAGTTTTGAAACTGTATTCAATTCAGTACGAGATATTATTATTTCAAAAACTTTAGAATTTTATTGTTGAAAAAAAAAAAAAAAAAAAAAAAAAAAACTTCTTAATATTAAAATTACAATTTATTTAATTATATAATAATAATTATAAATAATGTATTAAAAAATAAATAAATAAAAAATCATTAATTGTATAGTATAAATTTATCATGGGCATCAATTTTTTTTTTTTTTTTTTTTTTTTTTAAATTTTATTAAATTTTTTTTTTTTTTTCATTTTTATTAAAATTATTTCATTTCATTTATTCATAAATATTTTAGATTTTATATTTATATTTTATATTAATTATATATTTGTATAAAATATTAAAATATAATATAATATGTCATCAAACGATAATACTGAACCAAAGAAACTTTATGACGATTTAAATTTAATTTTTAAAAATAATCCAAATATGTGTGTAATATTAAACAATATAATCATCATATAAATAGTACTATAGAAATATATAGTAAAGTATTTTATATATTTATTTTTTAATTTACTAACTTCTTATTTCTAATTTTTATAGAAATGAAATTGGATTTGTAATTTCAACTAAAGATTATGATGGATTAGAGAATAAACCATTTGTAGTTGTAGAAAATAAACTTGGGTTTTCATTTTTATGGTTAACTAAACTATATTCATTTTGTTTTCATAGATTTATAGAGTTAAAGAATGATTTTGATTCATTAATAAACGAATTTTTAAAAATAAAAGTGGATGGTCCTTCAACATTTTTAAAATATTCAAATGAAATTTTAGCAAATAAAGATACAATTTTCAAAAGCACCAGTGACTTAATTGAAAAGTTAATAGAAGCTACAAGAAATGTTTTATCAATTAATGCTGAAAATGTAACTGCTTTAAATCAAAGGTAATTATATTAAAATCCAACATACCTATAGCAAAACATTAATATTAATTATATTTTATTTATATATCAGAAAAAAATTAATTATTTTAGAAATGGTAGATCACCAAACTGAAATTAATTTATTAAATTTAATATTTACAAAACACCCAAAAAGTGGCGAAGGTTGGGCTCATAGAAAGTGGATATATACAGATTATTATAAAAAAACAAATCAATATCTCTCTTATCAAATCGAGTTGGATGTTTGTAAAAGAGTTGCTGAAATCTATCCAAAGAATTATTATGCATGGACTCACAGATGGTGGATACTTAAAAACCTTTCAATTGAATTGGTAAGATATTTAATTATTTTACTACTTTTTATTATTATTAATATAATGTTAATTATTATTTCTTTTTTATAATTTAGTTTCTTAAAGATTTAGAATTAATGGAAGATTGGATTAAAAGAAATATTTCAGATTATTGTGGATATCACCATAGATATTTAATTTTAACAACTTTATTTAAAATTTTTTTTAATATTAAAGATGGAAAAGATCCTCAAATTGATGAAATCGAATTTTCTAATCAAGTCTTAAATGAAAACTTATTTTTAGAAATATGGTCAAAAGAATTTAAATTTATTGAAAAGGTTATTAAAATGTATCCAGGTCACGAATCACCATGGAATTATAAAAGAACCATATCACTATTTTGGTTGGAAAATAGCGAACTTATTAGCAAATCGTCACATTCAAATTTATTATTACCAATAACAAGTGTCTATAAAGAATGTTTATTTGTTCATTCTATAATTCAAGATAATGAATCTTCATATTATTTAAAACAAAAATCATTTGCTGAGGATTATTTATCTTCAATTTACCAGGTATATAGTCTCCAAATTAATTTTAAACATAGATTGCCATAACACAGTTTATTAATATTTTTTTTTTTTTTTTAATATAGCTAAAACTAACAATATTAAAAGATAAAGATTATTTGGGTGATAGTAACTTTAATTTAGAAACTTTAAAACAAAACTATACAAAACTAATAACACAATTAAAAAAATCAAATCCAGATAAAATTAATGTATTTGATTATAAAATAAATAAATTCACAAAATAAAACTTTTTCTTTTTTAATATTTATAAAATTAATCATATACATATATTTTATTATTATTGTGAATAAAATAAATAAAATTTATTATTTTTTTATTTTAGTTTATTCGATTTTATTTACTGTTTTATTTGTTTTAATTTTTTTAGTTTTGTTACTTTTTTTATCACCACTGGCCTCGGTTCATTTTTTTTCAGGTTTATCATAACAAATATGATTCCATAAAGAGTAATGTTGTGATGGTGAAACTGTACCATTTAAGTGTTGGAATTCGTGTACAAAGTAAATTGAAAAAGTATATAATTTCTTTTCATTAAAGTTTTTAGAGTTAAATTCTCTGCAAATGTAACGACCCATTTCTAATCTTAATGGATCAGAGTTTGCTTGATTGAAACCATTTTCCCAGTACTTGAACCAACGATGGTTACGGTATGATTTATAGAATGGATTTGGTTTGTCAAAGTTTACAACAGTATTAATATCGAATTTGAAGAGACCCTCATCTTTAAAGAGTTCTACATCGGTTCCATCATCTAGTTTACCGTGGATAACATGCCACCAATGTACTTTTGGTGGTGCTGGACTAAACATATTCCAACTTTGATCGAAACGGAATAAATATGCGATTTGGTTATAGTCATGGTGATAACCAAGATTGATGTTAAATACTTTACAATTATAGGCTAAAATGAACCAACAAACAAAACCCATCCATAAATTAATTGAAACCTTTGAGAAATTTGATGCTGGTGGTGCTGGATTTCTTTTCTTTTGATAGAGTGATTTCTTACCAGAGAGCATTTGTTTTTGTTGGGTATTACCATGGAGTCTTTGCATAACATAACTAAAAGCATCGATTACATTTTGTGGAACCTTATTGAATAACATTGCAAATGGGAAAAGTAATGGTGATTTACTGATAATGAAATTAAGTGCATGACAATTTCTCTTTCTTAACCCATTTGAATCAATTGTAACTAACCAATCATCACCAAGTAATTCTTTACTTTTATAAACAGTAGTGGTATCTTCATTTAATTGTTGATGTGGTGGTGATGATAATGAATAAATAGAGTTATCGTTATTATTAGTATTTGCTGTATTAACTGAATATGAATCCATTGAAATCTCTTGATTATTATAACTGTCTAATGGTGAAAAAACTGCAGTACCTGGGATAATAAAGAATGTTTTAAGAGCTAATGCAATTCTTTGACTAAGTGGACTTGAGGTATTATAATAGACACGAGTTGGTTTTTGACCTTTTAGTATTTTCTTTTCAGCCCAATCAAAGAATAATTCCCAAGCTGGTGTTGGAATATTAATTAATTGTGCACCAGCAGTACAGAAAAAGAAGAAACCTAATCTAAGACACATAATAAAACCTGCATGCATTGCAATAAATCCAATTGCACCAAATAATCTTAACCAATCTGTAAAAATTGGTGAAACCATAAAAAATATACCAAATAATTCCCATTTTGCTACAGCAAGAGTTAAAACTCTAAAAAAATAAAAAATTATCATTAATATAAAAATTTATTAAAATAAATAACCAATTATATAATTTCTTTTACATACCTTAAAGTACCACGGAAATTTAAAAATACTTTGGCAATATCAGTTGCAAAATAATCTAAAGTAAGAGCATAAAAAGTTGATTCACCATTGTGCCATTCTTCACCAGTTTTGTAGAAATATGATGTGACATACATTAAACCCATTTGTAAAAGAATTGCAACTGTGGCAAAAGATACAACACGATAACTATTTGGATCTCTTTTTGGTGTAACGATAAATTCTCTATCTTTTTCGATACCCATATCTATATTTATTTCATTTTCGTTATTATGGTTATTATTGCTAAGATCGCCATTATTATTATTGATATTATTACTATTATTACTATAGTGATTTATTTGTTTTGTTAAATGATAATCGTTGAAAAAAGTTGCTTTGTCAACTGAGAAAAACTCTGAACTTGGTAAAAAGATATTTATAAATAACATCATACGGAAGAAAACGTCACCACCATGGCCAACAATACCATTGTAAGCTTGTAATGATATAGTCATAAACCAAGATAAAGCAGCCATTGTTCTTGTACGATAGCCAATTAGCATTAAAAATGCAAATACACCATGAAGTGTAAAGAGGAATGCTTGGAAATGGAATGATGTATTCATTAAATGAATTACAAAAAAGTAATTACTCATATAACGCTCTGTGATTAAATGACGTGGGAAAACACCATAATCAGTATACATCACTCTAAGATCAGTGGCACGCTCAATGAGGTCACCGATAATACAAAGTGCCATTGCAACACGGAACAATGCCAATGATCTATAATCCATTCCAAACATGCATGTCATTTTATATTTATAAAATTTCATATTTTCTTTTGAAAATAAATTATTCCATGATAGATTTTGTTTTTTAAATTTCCCCATTTTGAAATAACAATTATTTTTTCTTTTTTTCTTTTTTTTTTTATTATTATTTTACAATTATATATTATTATTACTATTATATTTTTATATTATTATTGAAACTAAAAAAAAAAAAAAAAAAAGATATTTATAAATATATTATTATTAATTGAATTATAAATATTATATCATATATTGTTTAGAAAAAAAAAAAAGGAAATAGAAAAGAGAAATTAAATTAAAAAAAAACAAAAAAAAAAATAAAAATAAAATAAAATAAAATATTAAAAAGAAAACGTTGACGAAGATTTTTTTTTTTTTTTTTTTTTTTTTTTTTAAAAATTATGCGACAATGAGTAGGAGTTAAACCTTTTCCGTCTGTTGGCAAAAAACACAAGAAATTTAGTTTTGGAAGTTGTTGTTGACACTGGAATTTTTTGAATTTGATATATATCAAAAGAATTATAAAAGAAATGTAAAAATATAAATTAAATCATTTTTTAACCTTGATTTTTTTTTTATAATTATTATTATTTTTTTAATAAATCTTTATTTCGAAATAATATTATTGTGTAAAAAAAAAAAAAAAAAAAATTTGGATATTTATTTTGGAGGAAATAGTAAAAAGAAAATTCAAAATCGAAAAATTGGTTCTTTATTATTTTTATTATTTTTATTATTTTTTTGATCAGAATCTGTTTAAACAAATACATAAATATACATATAAATATTTATATAAAATATTTGATCACTTTTTGAAATTTTTTTTTTTTAAAAATAGATTATTGAAATGTTTAAAATTATTACCAAAAAAAAATATTATTAATTTTATTTTTTTTTTTTTGTTTTTTATTTTTATTTTTTATTTTTATTTTTTTATTTTTTTTTATTTTTTTTTTATTTTTTTTTTTTTTAATTTAATTTTTTATTTTTATTTTTTTATTATTGTTATATTAATAACATTTAAATTGTAGAATAAAATGTTTTCATTTTTAAATATTAAAAATAATAATAGTAATAATAATAATAATAATAATAATAATAATCAACAACCGCAGCAACAGACACAGCAACCAATACAACAACAACAAACACAACAACCGATTAACTCAAAACCACAACCACAAGTAAACCTTTTTCAGTCATTAAATTTAAAAGCAAATACACCAACAGTATCATCACCAAACAATACATCGTCACCATCATCACCTAATGTTACTACTGATAGTCCAAGATCTTCAAATGACGAATTGGTTGGTGAAAACGACAACAGTGTTTATGAAAGTAGATATTGAATATTTAACAAAAAAAATAATAATATTTTTAATATTAACATCTTTTTTTACTAAAATCATAATAGAAAGAGTTATTAAAAAAATTACAAAAAAAACATTTAAACCAGGTCAAAATAAATCAAATGATATTAATGAGGATTTAAATGAAATTAATTATAGCAACAATAATAGTTATAGTTATGATGAAAATAATAACCAGCTCGATATTAGGGATGATATTAAACAACAGGTGCAACAAGAACAACAAGAACAAACAGAGGAAGCAATTGAGGGGGTAGAAGAAACTCATGAAGAAAAGAATGACAAAGAAGAAAAAGCAATCGATGAAGAAATTGAAAAAAATAACAAAGAAGAAAATAACTCAATAGGTTTTATAATAGACGAATTAAAGAATTGCCAATATAGATTCTATGAAAAATTAACAAATATTGAAACAAATTTTAAAAAATCATTAGAAAATAAAAAGAAATCAAATGAACAATTATTAAATGTAATATTATTTTATTACTATTATTTTTTTAATATTTATTTTAATTTATTAATATAAATTTTTTTTTAAAAAAGAATTTAAATTTATTAAGAAAATTAGAAATTGAAGAAAATCAATCAGTCGAAAATGAAGATTATGAATTGGCATCAAAGTTATCAGAGGATATTAAAAATATAAATAAAGAAAATGAAATTGTAAAATATCAAATGTTTGAAATATTAAAGTTAGATTATCAGCAGGACAGTTTATTATCAGAAGAGTTATTGATAGAGTATCAACAAGCAACCGACGAAAATCAAATCAAACTTTTAGAAATTAAATCAAAAGAAGATGAAAATATAACATTATATCAAGAGCAGGTCAAAGAGAATATTAAAGCAATTAATGATGATATTCAAGTTAAATCAGATGAAATCAAAAGAGAATCAAAGTATTTAGAACTGGATAGAGAAATTTTAGAAAACAATGAAAAGTCACTCAGAGATACAATCGATGAATTAAATAAACCATTGTTGGAAGAAAAGGAAGAAAAATTAAAAGAAAAAGAGAAATTACAAGAAGAAATCGATCAGTTGTTATTATTAATTCAAGAGAAAAGAAACCAGCAGTCTATAATTGATCAATCTATAGATCAGGTTAACGAAAAAATCGAAGAGTCAAAGAGCAAATTCTCAAAAGAAGAAAATAGATTAAATCTAGAAAGAGCAAATATCAAGAAAAGAGATGACCATATTGAAAAGCTTAATCTTGATTTGTCAGAGTTAAAGAATCAAATAGAAGAATTAAATAATCCAACTGACCATCCATCGTTCCAATTAATCCATCTAGTAAATGACTCGATTGCCGACAGTAAAAAATTCCTCAACGAAACAACAGCAACCCTCGAATCAATTGAACAACAACAAAAATCAACATTTAAATTATATGAAGAGATTTTACTTTCAAATGACTCTATGAACCGTAATAAACAAGCTTTAGATACCATATCTCAATCTATAGATGAATTAAATGTTAATCTAAGTAATTTATCAACTCAAAAACTCAAATTAAAAAAGCAAATGATCGAAATTGAAGATACCATACCAATTTTAGAATCATCAAAAAATTTAGCCAAGGAGGCTAAACGTTTCAATGAAGCAGGTTCACTATTGAATGAATTAAAACAACAACAACAGCTATTAATCGAAACTAAAAAACAATTGCAGGAAATTAATGAACAGTTTGATTTAGATCAAAAGAAATTAGATAGTCATCAAAAAGATTATAAAGAGTTTAAGGATTTAGTCGACGAACAAGAGTTAAAAAATTACAGAAATCTATTAAATAATTTAATCGATAGGCAGTCATTTTTATCAAATATTTTTAGTAGCGGGGATAACGATAATGAATTTTATAAACTCGAATTTGATTCAAATCAAATAGAAATCGATTTTATAAAATTAAAATTTAATTTATAAATAAAAATAATTATAATTCAATTATTATAACAATTTTTTTTTTAAATTTTATTTATTTGTTTTATAATTTAAGTAGATTTTTTTTTTAATGATATGTTTTATATTATTAGTATTCTTCTTTTTTGGCAGAGGCAGAGGCTGAAACATTTAAATAATTCAACTTGTTATTTTCTAAGCTTTGAGGTATAGATATCACCCTTAGGTATTGTGGAACAGTGATACCATAAGTTTTGGTTAAGGAAATGATTCTACATTATTATTTGAATAGGGAGATTTTACACTACTTGATAAATTTGAAACATTGGTTAAAAATATGAAATTTATTGAATTAAACCAACTATTGGAATATACAAAGATAACCTCACCTTCAATTTTTATAAACCAAATTAATTAAAATTATTGATACCATAAACTGTTTCCTAAAACTGTTTCCTAAAAATATTTTATATTAATTTTTATATGTAAAAAAAGACAGGAAAATTATTGATACCATATAAACTGTTTCCTAAAACTGTTTCCTAAAAATAATCCATATTAATTTTTCCATAGTAAACTGTTTCCTAAAAATACTAAATATAAACTGTTTCCTAAAAACTGTTTCCTAAAAATGCTTCATATTAATTTTTATATGCAAAAAATGTTTTCTTTTTTTACAAATCTTTATGGTGAGCAAACCAGATGTCAGTTGCTTTGAGTAGAGATTAAAAATTATCTTTATTCTCAGTTTTTACCCATTATCGTTAGCTTATTCATTTAAAATTTTTTTTTAAAAGATATCTCTTTTTTTAAAAAAAATTATCTCTTTTTTTAAAAAAAACTATTCATTTTTATCGATTTAAAATTTGCAAATGGATGTAAAATAACAGCACAAACACCCATCACAATTTTTCTCTTTTCCCCCTTTCTTTTGTATGATCCATATTACTTGATATTTTTTATGCTAAATAATAGTTTTGATATTTGTATGATCTATAATACTTGTTATTTTCTAATAATTTTACTTAATATTTGATATTTTTTTTTAATATCCCCCCGCATTTTCCAAAATATTTGATATATTTTTAATGTTACACAATACTTAATATTTTTTAATGATCCAAAATACTTAATCAATTATTTATTTATTTATATATTATATTATAATTGATTTTTTTTTTATTATCCCACTGCATTTTCCAAAATATTTGATATTTTTTATTATCCCACTGCATTTTCCAAAATATCTATTTATATTATTTTTTTATATATTAAAAATTTTTTTTTTTTTTTTTTTTTTTTTTTTTTTTTTTAAATTGAATTTACCCGAATGTGTTTAATGAAAAAAAATAAATTTTTTGAAATTATTTTCTTTAAATACTTTTTAGTTTTTTAAAAAAAAAAAAAAAAAAAAAAAAATTTAATTTAAAATTAATTAATTAATTAATCTATAACTATTTCCTAATTTATTTAAAACATCAATTCCAAAATAAGTAAAATTTGTATTGCAAAAAAAAAAAGTAGATCTGCTACAATCAAAATTGGTAATAATTTGAAACAGGGGGGGGTTTTTTTTTTCAAAATTTTTTATTTTTCAAATAAATTAAACACATCTTCCTTTTAAAGAAATCATTTTCCATTTATATTATTTTATTATAATTAATTTTATAATTTTTTGTAGAAAAGAGAATAAAGTAAGAATTTGGTAGTTCATTATATGATAATCAAATTGGTATGATAGCTGAATGAAAAAAAAAAAAAAAAAAAAAAAATTTATTTAATTTTATAAATTTAATTTTTTTTTTAAATTTCTTTAAAAATTTTAACTTTTTTATTTTTTTTTTAATTATGATGGCAATGGGCGCTTTTTTTAAAAATTTTTTTTTTTTAAATTTTGAATTTTATTAATTATAATATTTTTATTTTCCTTTTCAAAAACCTTCACAAAACCATATTGATAAATCTAATATTATGGTGCTATTTTTCACTTGTGTTGATGCTTATATTAGCAGGGTGATCTCTTTATTTCGAACATCACCATTAATCTAAAAATATAATATAATATTATTTTCTTTTTTAATTAATAAAAACCTCAACCAATACAAAAAAGTCGAATTATTGTTTTTTATTTTTGATTATCCATTTTTATCGTTTTTTATAAAATCTTCCAGATGGTCCAAAAAAGATAAACGATAACGATAATTTTTAATCACTAGCTTCATTAAAGGTAAATAATTATATTTTCTATTTTTTTTTATTATTTATACTTTAGTGATTTAATCCAACTATTTGATGAATATCATTATATTTGCCAGGGAAACTATAGTAGAGCACAAATTTTTTTGGATGAAGAAAAGGGAAATGAAAACTGAAATTTTACTATTGATCAAATTAGAGAATTTGTCACAATGGTTATTTTAGAAAAAATATTTTGAAATAAGGTTCCCAAAGAAATCAGAAGATCAAGTTAATAATATTGTTAATAAGAAATAAAACAAGAGGTTGAAGAAATAAAACAAGGAGTTAAAAAAATTTCAGAAAAAGAGTATGTAAATAAAATAGTATTGGTGATGAATAATATGAAGGCA